CTATCAATTATATGAATTTTTAAACCTTCATTGTATACTAGAAATGTGAATACTGAAACTGTGGCAGTTATGGTTGAGATGAAAGTTTTTAAGTGTAGCAGTTTTGTGAGTGCTGAAACCTACAACACATATAGGAATGTTGAAAGCTGCAAACATTATGGAATTAGAGAAATATATAGCAGTTAATGTAGGGATGAGTGCTATTAGAGTTATAAAAATAATGAAACCTGTAGCAGTTATGAGCGCTATGAAAGCTATAAAAGATATGGAGGAAATGAGTATTAACCAAATATATCGGAACTAGGCGAGGTTCAGAATTGTTGTTTATTACTGATGTATATTATATATATAATCAATATAAATTGTGTATAGTTACAGGAACCGGTCGACATGCTATCTTTGCGGGAGAAGGCGGAACACAGAGCCCTGTCAGGATTTGCAAAAGACCGAAAAGGTAACTTAATGTGATACTACATTTATTTTAAGGACACTAGTCCATTATTTCCATATTTTTTTTTAGTTGGTTAAATTGAATAAATTGATACATGTTTCGACACACTTTTCTAAATTATCTTAATGATATTATAGCATCATTCAAAGATACGATACCCCTACCTACTGCGATAGATTAGGGTCTAAGACGATTTTTTTTATTTAGGAACTTATAAAACATGACATTACATATAGTAATACCAAGACCTCTTTCCTTTTAAACAGGAAGTCGATCATGACCGTATTTGCTTACAACAGTAAATAATCTTATGGATAAGCGTTTCTGCTTCATCGCCGGCACCCTCCATGTAAATCTAGGTCAACTCATTGTCTTATCAAGTCCTCAAAGAGACAATCAGGAAAGGGGAAACAACAACAACAAACATACTCATGGCCGTTATGAAAAAGTTGATATTCTTATCGCACAAGGGAATACAAATTCAATATTTCCTAATGAGATCATACTCTTCATCAGCCCGCATCTCTCAAAAACCCAATGTTATGAGACATCTAAAACAGAAAAAGCAAATCCCACGAATACTAAATCAGCTGCCCAGATTGGGAAACAGGGATATTACTATCAAGAAAAGGAAAGTTCACAATCGGAAAATTAAATTCGTCACGGTTATCGTACAGCTTAGTAGTAAGCTGTCCCTTTTGGTCATGTTGTAAGTAAGACAGAGGTAAGTGGCTGATGTAGGAGAGTCTATAGTGTCCTTGATTTCAAATCTAGGAGGGTATATACGATCGACGTGGACAGTATATTTCTATTACTAGTATTTAAAGATACTACATCGTCAATAGTTCTAAAAGGGAAGTTAAAGATATTAACAAAGTTTGTGTTACCAGTCCTGAAAAGTTCTACACTAAATTATGAAAATATGAAAACAAAACACAAACTAGTCGTCTAGAAGAACAGCACAGTTTGTTCTAAAGAAGTCTACAGCATATAAATAGTTATATCTCCGTTTACCAAAAGTAATGAAATACTTGCAAAATAAGTAAATACTTGTTTAATCTTGTGAATTTGCGCCATTTTGTTTTTGGTTTTGTAACATACCTGATTGCTAAAGACTGAATTTATGGTTTTAGGATACACATTCGAAGGTTATAAACCCGAATCTTGATTTGATAAAAAAATGTCCGGGTTATCGTCAATTTCCATTAGGATACATAGAATGAAAAAAGCTAACGAATTATCAGTGATATGTAAAATTCATTAGCAGGAAAAAGCTGGCGTGTTTCTCTCGAGGAAATGAAAACAAAATGTAAAGTTAAATAGGTAAGTATGTCGTATACGGACGTGTAACGGGCGGGGGCCATAATTGATATAGAGCAAATGTCACGATATAACTCTAACAAAATTAAAAGTTCTGTAATTTCTCGTTTAAAGCATATACGAATATGAAATTAAAGGAATGTGTAAGCAGCATATCTCCCTTCTTTGATAGTCATCGGATGTAATGATGAAAATTTTAGAAGGAATCGTGTAAAATAAAGATTCGTTGCGCTACAACTCATAAATCTGCATATTTACATTTCTGAAAGCAACTTTAATTTCTTTTCCATTAATACTAAGAAATATAGGCTATCGTTGAAAGCGCAAAACATACATGTGGCATCAGTCTTGTAATAAACAGAATCTAGTTTCAAAATGATGTAACCGGGGCGTTACAACACCATTAATGCGCTCGAAACAACAGCTTTCGAAAGCCGCAAATAAAATATCTTTTTAATGACACCAATAAGAACGAGTTCAAAAGAAGATTACAGCTGCTGTTAATGTTTTGACCTTTCTAATGATATTACAGACTATTAGTTTGACGTGTCAAATTTGTGTATCCGCGCTGTTATAGCTAGGATATAAACACTTCACATTTTGTTGTATCCGGACTGTTATAGCTAGGAAATAACCACTTCACATTTTGTTGTATCCGGGCCGTTATAGCTAGGAAATAAACACTTCACAATTTGTTGTATCCGGGCCGTTATATATTATGGCTAGGAACTAAACACTTCACATTTTGTTGTATCCGGGCTGTTATAGCTAGGAAATATACACTTCACATTTTGTTGTATCCGGGCCGTTATAGCTAGGAAATAAACACTTCACATTTTGTTGTATCCGGGCCGTTATAGCTAGGAAATATACACTTCACATTTTGTTGTATCCGGGCTGTTATAGCTAGGAAATAAACAATTCACATTTTGTTGTATCCGGGCCGTTATAGCTACGAAATAAACACTTCACATTTTGTTGTATCCGGGCCGTTATAGCTAGGAAATATACACTTCACATTTTGTTGTATCTGGGCCGTTATAGCTAGGAAATATACACTTCACATTTTGTTTTATTCGGGCCGTTATGGCTAGGAAATAAACACTTCACATTTTGTTGTATCTGGGCCGTTATAGCTAGGAAATATACACTTCACATTCTGTTGAATCGTTTCCCCTCATTGATTCCATTGAGTATATCGCTTTAACATTTAAGCCATCTATCAGCATTTGACACTCCAATAATATTTAAATAAACTATATTTTTCTTCTCTAGATAACAGTGATTATGTAACACAGCATTTGAAACCGGAATCTCAACCAGACTTTCAGAGATCCCTCACACTTCCACAATTGGTCCAGAGTTCCTCCCCCTCCCCACGATCCACACGGAGGGAGAATCCCCCAGAGTTCCCACATCCGCTAAGAAGCCCGGCGAGACGGAGAAAGCCTTTTGAATCTAAAGTAAAGCTTCCAACCTTCAGGGCCTTAAACAGAACATTTGATCCCATTCCACAGTTCATAGAACCGAATAAAAAACGGAACTATGCTACCAAAAGTATGGATTTCTGGGAGAAACAAGTGACGAAGTAAGTTTTATTGTGACAGTACTGTAAAAAAATTCTAGGGGTTTCTATTTTTACGGTTTTCACGGAAATAATCTATACCTCGAAAATACAACCTGCGAAATCAAAGACAAATTAAGCCATTCCTACCATAACACACTATGCTATGGCCACTTGGCTCGAATTCTGCGAAAAAATTGATCTCACGAAAATTGATTCGCAAAATTAGGGACCACGAAAAAAAGACATTCATAGTAACATTTGAGAAATTATATTCATATGAAGAAAAGTTAAAGTTCTACGTGGGATTATCTTAAAAGTTATGAAGTTACAATAACATATCAGTTGAATTTTAAAATTTTCATTAGAAAAGACACGGTCCTCAGGATTTTTGTTTTGTATTAACGAGATGTCTGTCATGTTTTCTTATTAAACTGTAAAGGTGAACATAAAAACACTCCTAAACAGTTTCAGACTGCCGATCACATTTCCAGTTTCAGGGATGAAACATTTGAGATTCATCTACCGTTAAACAATTATTTGTGTTTAGTATTTTGGGTGGGGGAGTAATCCAAGGTTTGTCCTTAGGTGTTTACGCTTTACTATGTATTTTTCGCCGGAGCCGTTTGAGTTCGTTCAGTTTAACGCATGCAGTGCACACTGAATGCTTAGCATTTTCGGGATTTGTTTCCAAAACGGTTTCTGCATAATACAAAATTGGGTTTTAATACAAAATCACCGAAATATGAAAGGTGAACACAGCATTCGAGTTACCTCCCGTTGAACGATCAACATGGTTTTCACACAATAGAATGCGCGTTGCCTTTTTTTCTGTTGCAGTTTACCCCTTGTCTATTCATGTGTGTTTAACAATATCATAAAATCTGCGGTTAATCCTATTATATATTATATTTTTTTGATAATAATGCGTTTGTTTTTAATTTTATCCAGGGTTGTTCCAGATCGTATGAAGTTTGCCATTTCGAACGACTACCAAGCGCCTCCTGCTGTCTGGGATGACCGCGACCCTTACACATTCTCATCAAAATCCTGTTTTTATGACAACAAAAAGTACGTCCCTCACCGTGACTTCAAAATTAACCCAGAATGGATCTCCGAGAGTATGCACGTTTCGGACTATTCTCCGGCGTACCGGACATGCCCGCTCCGCTATGGATGGTGTTGTTGACGAAATAGGCTCAATATTAAGTTCTAAGACACATTTAATACCGACACATGTGTACATGTGACTACAGATAGAAAGTAGGCGGACACACACACACCGTTTTCATGCTATGCACTTCTAATTTTTCATATAGCTTAACGCTTGGCCTGTCAAAATCACATTGTTTTATGTAAATGATTACGATATCAAAATGTGTTGCTCTGTTTCAGGAAAAGTCTGCGTATTCTGTAAAACAAAGGCTTTTGTTATCACAGTTATGTTATTACCAATAAAACTATTATTCTAAATATTGCGGGACAATTTTATTGGAGTTATCTTTCTTAGTATAGCGCATCCACGATATTCCCATCCTCGATATCCAAGCGTTACGCTCACTTTCGCTCTCTGCACCCCTGGAATATGTCATAGAAATATTGAAGACTCAGTGTGCAGCATCCTGAAGATGAGACGAGAAGACTAGTTTGATCCTTTGATGTACATCTAAAGAATCTCGCGGTCACGTAACGGTAAACATTGACAGGCTTTGAAGTCAGGCGTCGCTCCTTTTTAATGTTCAAAGGACAAGTATCAGCCTAGTGTTTGGTCAGGTTTTTTTTACCTGAGACCAATCAAACAGCTATCTGCTTGTCTTCAATTTTGCTATGACCCTTTGATGTACATCAAAAGAATATGTCGTTTGCGTAACGGTAAACTTGACTGGCTTTGAGATCGGGTGCCGCTCCATTGTAATCTTCAAAGGACATGTATCAGCCTAATGATTAATAAGGTTTTATTTGACCCGAGACGTATCAAAAAGCTAGCCGTGTGCCTTCAATTTTGTTTCGTTCTTCTAGGACTCACCGGTAATACAAAATTGTCTTAATTACTTTTGAAACAGATAGAGAGGTACATAAAAACCCTTATTATCGAAATGTAAAAAAGTACGAGTTAATTTCAAATAACATCAGGGTAAAGTGTGGATATTATGAATCGTGCGACTACTCCAGAACTTACTGTGGATACCAAGGATACGGTAAGCATCCGGGTACTAAGGAATCATCCAGCAGAGTCTACCATCTTGTATATTGAGAGATGAACGCCAAGCACAAACATGTGGTGGCACCTTTAATAATTTGGTTATAGAAACAGTATGCCAAAAATGAATAACGTACACTGCACCATACAGCTCATCGGCGAGGCTAGTAGCCGAAAAGTTGGAGAAACCGAATGGGATGTGTACAAAACTCCTTAATTACTAGCCCTTATAATATGTCACAACTACTATGTGCGCTTCAAATTTCAAATATAGTAGAACATACAACACACACAACTAAAACCGCACAGAGACAGACCTGAGAGGAATTTATCAACATGAGGCGCATTATTAAAATTCTTATATTTGGCATCGATCGACCCACACATACCCAATATATATCCGATCTGCCGATTGGAGTCCATATGCTGCATAAGCGCAGGAATGGGTTGGTCAGCACAAAATAAGTATGTTTTGAGGTTTGTTTAGACTGCAAAACCATGGAAACATAACAACCCTTTGCTTTTCAATCAAATGCACCTTTGTTGTTTGCATTTGTTAAATGAACTTACAATTTATACCCCATATGTTATATGTGGAATTCGATTTTTATGAATAATTTTCACTCCAGGTACCTATCATGAAAAGTACCTATGAACTAAGCATATGTTATATATGGAATTCGATTTTTATGAATAATTTTCACTCCAGGTACCTATCATGAAAAGTACCTATGAACTAAGCAAATCCATTTTTTTCATTCGCGTTAATCAATCGGTAACCGTCGGCACTTTCCGTAAACGGGAAAACTTTTTCTCGTTTACGGAAAGTGCCGACGGTTCCCGATTGCGCGATATGTACCTGTTCCTCCCTTTCCAAAAGTGTTTCACTATTAGCATACCAGTCCCATTGCAGGCAAGATACTAGAGAATCCATGAGGTTTTCATATGCACAGTTACCTTCCCTTAATTTTGGTTTTGATAAAAACTGTTGTGCAATTGGGACAGGTCATTTCCGTTGACAAACTAGCTCAGCTACAGAATGTAATAATCTATTTGAGCTTCAGAGGTCAAATCTTGGTCTGGTTCGGCTTCAATTTAACACTCAGAATACTGCTGTTGGTTATGTTTTGTTTTTTCAACATGTTTTTATGATTTTGTTTTTAAAGCTCTGCAAGGTTTTCTTTTCAAAATAATATTCATTCAAGCTATAGTCATGAATAGTCAGGCATAGTGACAGTTTTTAGCAGTGGAACAGGGATCCTTACAAAAAACATTATTTGTATGAATAGTAATTAGGATTGATTGACAACGTACTTGTGAGGGATATACTTCTACTCTTTGTACATTAATTCGACTACCCGACGACACCTCATTGCAGAAACATGCGCCATAGGTCGGCCATCGACCCTATATGTGACAACTGCATTAAAAAGGCAATGGTTTCTTCTGACTTTCTATTTGTCTTAAACAGTTTGCAATTTCGAGATACAAAAACAGAATCATACCGAATCTCCTTCTTCGACTATATAGTATCTGAAAGAATTGTAAAAAACGTTTTTTTCTATGGATTCCGAGCCACATCGGAATGAAAGTTATTGCAAATTCTAACAGAGCAGCTAAATATGCGGTTAATCACCGACATACCAGTATAGAACTGCCACTTTGATGTAAAAATTTCTACCCAATTATTCGAGATGCCATTCAATATGAATGGCACCAACTCAGATCCACCGAGACCAGCAGCGAACGTAGCAGCAGACGTTTTAAATTATAAGAAAAATTCAAAACTTGTTTGCCACGTCGGAAAGATATCAGAGAGGAGGTTGTCCTCTTTCGGCTCGTGGCCGGTCACTCTCCATTTACTCTGGAGTTTTTTGTTTTTTTTATAAATATGAATATAAACTTTAAATATTTTAAAACAATTACGAAACAAATTTTTATAACCGTATACTTATCACTCTTGTTAGCCCTGATGTTAGAGCGCAGGGGTCATACTTTTGGCCGATACCGGAGTACCCGGAGAAAACCTACGTATCCGAACATGTAACCCCATACCTTTCCATGTCCGATCGGGGAATCCAACCCGGCCGTCTTGGTGAAAGGCAACTGCGTTATCCACTGCGCAACCCGATCACCTTAAAAAATGGTTAGAATTTGAGATAAAAACGTTATAAAGTTTTAGATACAGGATATGACTTTATGTCCGTAGACTTGAGGCGTTGTTCAAACTTGAAAAACCTATCGCTCTATTATTTAGATTCTGATGTCTCGAACCGCCCTGTCCCATGTTAACGTTACCTACACATAGGCACCTTTCCATATCGCATATGCATGAACTATTTTTAATAGATTTTGTTCTGTATCCCCTTGCCCATTTAAATGTTGTACACAGATCCTGCTATGATACATGAGTTTTTAAGGCACATTTTATGTTTTTGTTCTGTTAAAAATATCTAAGTCGAAAGACATGAAAAAAGAAAACAAAAAAGAAAACAACACAGCAACAACANAAAAAAAAAAAAAAAAAAAAAAAAAAAAACCCCCCCCCCCCCCCACAATATTACTAAGCATGAACACAATATAAGTAGCTATAGTTAACCTAATATATATACACAAGCAGTCGTTTGTTTTTGCTTCTGTTTTTTTATTAGTCCAGGCCGTCTTTTAAAGTAGGAAATGACAACAACTATTGATATTTTTTTTAAAGTTTAATATTGATGACATTTAGTGGGAACGCATGTCACACCTTATTTGATAATGTTTTTCTTACCATGGAGTTGTTTATATATAACACCGTGGATCCTAATTCAAATAGCCGGCTGTGTATTCAATATCATTGCTGAATGTGATGTACGAAAATGTCTAAACGGCCTCGTTACGATTACATCCCGTGGAAAATTGTGTGTTTCAGTTTACACTCGGTGACGTATATCTGAATAATTTAACAACTTAGATGTAAATGCTGTGTAGATATTTGAGAAACAAATCGGTGACATTATTGAATTCTCATATAAATGGAGCATTTGGCAGAGCCCTTACACAAGTTTGTCTGGTTCCAAAAAGTTTAAATCAGATTAACTTTTTACCTGATCATTAATAGTTCTCAGACACATGTTTATGTGGCGTTCCGTAACTAAATCAAACTCAAAGAATGAAACCCCCCGCATGCCTGACTCAAGAAGCGGCACATTGTAAGGATTGGCAAGATTCAATTTATTTTCGAAATGAGTCTTCCGCGCTTGGTTGAAAGTCCTGGTAATTCTCTGAGGCTATTACAGTTTATTGGTGAAGCGGACACATAATCCGTCTAAATCTGTCCATACCCGGAAGAAGAACGCTGTGTTCTGATGACCTTCGCAGACCCTCGGACTTTTAGCTTGATAGTCTTCTAATAAGTGTGCTTGCTTTCACTTGGATGAATCTTGAACATAATGAGAACACATCAATAAAGATTAAAATTGTAAAATACATTTTTTGTATGACAATCTTGTCTTCCAGTTTCGGAATACTAATCTTGTTTATAATTTTGATAAGCTGATAGCTTAAGCCGTAGCCACAAACATTAGAAGTGTACAAGAAAGGTTTGCTGGATTGGGCTGAAGGAGATTGGAAATTCTATTAAATTTGTAATCAGTTTCAAAATAAAGTCAGCCTTACAGGCTGTTCCTATTGAAGTATATGTTGTTTAGACGAGAATGTAACCTCAACAATCGATACAGGAGATTATTCACTCTAAGGATTCTAAAGAGAAATCACCATTGACGAGAATAGTGTTTCAAAAATTTGATCATTAATCTTTCTATCATACATTTCCTCTAAACCGGAACAAAGTGAGTTTTATTCAATAAAGATGGTTTTATGAAGTCCAAAATAAATGAGGTTAGGCTTATGAATACGTGTTTTCATATTGAGTTTGACACCAAGTACAGTATAGCGGATTTATTTCTAATCAACTGAAAATATATCAATATATAGCAACTCTGGCCGATATATGGTTGAATTGGATTTAAAATATTCGATTAAGAACATGATACATGTATAAGGCACAAGCGATGTCTGATCAGCAGCGCCTCGTCTCATCTTTGTGTTACACACACATTACAGTATTGGTGACCCACTCATTGCACACCCGTTAGTTGCATCTTATCATTGAAAACCAGTTTAGATAAGGAAAAAAAATAACATACCTCTTTGTCAAGGGATATCCATCAACTAAAAATGTAATAACTACGTTTTATTCAAGTTGCAAACATTTGTAGCCGTTTAGTTGTTTCTC